GGTCTCAAACTCCTGACCTCGTGATCTGCCTGCCTGGGCTTCCCAAAGTGCTGGGGTTACAGGCATGAGCCACCATGCCCAGCTGTGTATAATGTTTATTCAACAAATTGTGGATGTTTTTAGCCATTATATCTTTGAATATTATTATGCTTCTTTCTCTTTCTCCTCACCTTCTGGTATTCTCATTACATGTATGTTGGTGCACTTAAAGGTGTCCTAAATTTCTCTGAGGCTCTCTTCAGTTTTCTTTGTTCTATTTTCTCATTCTATTTATTTTATTTTCTTATTCTATATTCCAGTGGGAAGATGGAATTGTGGTTGCATAGTTTATATTGATCTATTTGAAAGTTTTCTCATTCTTCTGCCAGCTCAAACTTATTTAGCCCTTCTAATGATTTTTTATTTTGGTTATTATATTCTTCAACTCCAGAATTTACATTTGGTTCCTTTTATGATTTTCTTTATTGGTATTCTTTATTTGATGAGACATTATATTTTCCTTTACTACTGTGAACATATATGTATATATAATGGCTACCTTGAAGTTTTTCTCTTTTAAATCTGATATCTGTTCCCTGTCAAAGACCATTTCTGTTGCCTGTTTTTTCCTGTTTATAGGTCCAACTTTCCAGTTTCTTTGAATGTCTTATAATTTCTTGTTGATAAGTGGACATGTTAGGTAATACACCATACTATAGCAATTCTGGATACTGATTCCCTATTCTCTTTTTCAGAGCTTGTTTTTTTGTGGTTGTTTGCTTGGTTATTTGTTTTGTGGGGTTTTGTTTTGTTTTGTTTTGTTTTTGTTTTGAGATGGAGTCTCGCTCTGGCACCCAGGCTAGAGTGCAGTGGCACAATCTTGGCTTACTGCAACCTCCACCTCCTGGCTTCAAGCAATTCTCCTGTCTTAGCCTCTCAAGTAGCTGAAACTACAGGAGCACACAAACACACCCAGCTAATTTTTGTATTTTTAATAGAGACCGGGTTTCACTATATTGGTCAGGCTAGTCTTGAATTCCTGAACTCCAGTGATATACCCACCTCGGCTTCCCAAAGTGTTGGGATTACAGGTGTGAGCCACTGTGCCTGGCCGTGGTTATTTGTTTTTTGTTTTGACTAAGCTATTTTAGTGAAATAGCTTGCAGTGGGAAGCTTTTTGTTGTTTCTCAGAGGATGCGGCCTTGTACATATGCACAGTTACCCTGGTATGACGATGGTTTTAAACAGGAGACTCTTTGACTATCTTTCCCTGATGTCTCTGTTAAGAAGTCTGCCTCCTTTGGTATTATTTCTAGCCTAGTAGGCTCCACTAGCTTCTGTATGATCACTCGACTGTTCTCAACAAGTCCTTGGAGCATTAATTATTAAGCAGTCTGATATGATTTAAGTTAGGCAGCACTAGATTTTGAGGCCAGACTTTGAGGTTTCTTTTGACCTTAGGAGGACTCCTTAGCTGTCCTTTCCATGGAATTATCTGATTAATTAGCTGGCATATTTGTTTAAGAATGTTTAATTTACTGTTGATAGTAGGTGAGAAAGAGCTATTTATATGCCTTTTTTCCACCAGCTTGATGCTTGTTTAGAAGATATAGTTACCTATTTGTATTCAGCTATAAATGCAGGATGGAACAAATACAGAGAAGTTTTAGTAAGCCAGACACTTTCGGAAAAGACAGTATACTAGAAATGGGAAAAATGTATCCATACTAACGGCTACTCATAACTCCTATGAATCAGGTAAAAGGAGGTCCAAATAAAAATCAGTGCTATGGAGTGAAGGTCAGACTCACAAACCAAAGAAATGAAATATTCAATACATTTCACAATAATAAAATACCCCAATGTCCTAATGAAAAAGAATAAAAACATATACTCGATCCTCTTCTCCTAGGAGATGAAATATATTGTTTTAAAAATGAGTACTCCAATAAGATATTAATAAGCAATACATATATAATAAACATAACTGACCAGTTAGATATATAATAGACAGCAGATTAAATACCACTGACTAAGCACAACTTAAGGAGATTATATAATTAAATGTATCCAAAAAAAAACCATTATTTAATTGACCTATCACTTTCTAATACATCTTTGTTACTAAAAATTTAAACAACTTAGTAACCATGACTCTGGGCCATCTGATATCATAATGTGGTTCAAGGTCCAGCAGTCTTCTGTTTCTTAGATTGTATTTCCTTGTTTCAGGACAGGTAAAAATGTTAATAGCATAATAAAGACCAAACTGTCCAACTACCAAAACCCTGAAGCAGCAACAATGTCAAAGAATTACAAATAAAAGGAATAAGAATTTTTTTGAAAAGCAGTTAAAATTGAGAAAATTCTTTTTGTAAGTGAATTCAGTATGTTCACTGGGCTTGTAAGCAAGGAAATATTCTATGGATGCCTTCTCTGCTTTTAAAAGTAGTAGGTGATTTTTAAATTTTTACATACTTGGTTTGTAACTTTAGCAAATATTTTAAAGTATTTTATTATGTTTGCAAAGGGACTCTGACTTCCAACTTAGAAATCCCAAGATTGCATGATGACAGAGTTTCACTGGAAGGCCTCCAGGGATCTTTCTTTTATAACAATTCTTTTTTTTTTTTTTAGACAGAGTCTTGCTCTGTTACCCAGGCTGGAGTGCAGCGGTGCAATCTCTGCTCACTGCAAGCTCTGCCTCCCATGTTCACGCCATTCTCCTGCCTCAGCCTCCCGAGTAGCTGGGACCACAGGTGCCCACCACCACACCCAGCTAATGTTTTTGTATTTTTAGTAGAGACGGGGTTTCACCATGTTAGTCGGGATGGTCTCGATCTCCTGACCTCATGATCTGCTTGCCTCGGCTTCCCAAAGTGCTGGGATTACAGGCGTGAGCCACTGCGCCCGGCCTTTATGACAATTCTTAATGAGACTACCAGAATGTGCAATGACCCATAAAGGAGTTGTGCTGGGTTAATACTCAGGGAATCTGTTGAGTTCAAAAAAGAAAGTCAAAGAGAATCAATACGAAAAAGATGAAACTGGAAATAAAAAATAGGAACATAAGACTAGAAAGCCAAGTTTTATACAGCCTTGTTTTATAAGATTTATAAGATCATTGCATTAACAAAACCTGAAAAATGTTTAGAAAATTATAATTTTACTTATGATTATAGATGCAATTAAATGTTAAGAAATAGAATTAAGTAGTCTATCAAAAGAATAATAATCTGATAAGGGTATATTCACAAAAAGAAAGTTATCAATATAAATTATCATATAGATTTTTAAATGCACTAGAATAAAATCACAAAGGATTATTACTGATCTTTAAAAAAGTTAATCTCTCTAATTCATGATGCCACAATGGTATCATGTTTTATAGCTTGATTTAAAGGCTTAATTTTTTTCAAAGTTTATCAACAGCTCATGTACCAGCCATGGTATAGGTGCTGGTGATAAATGCTAAACAAAAACAAGGTTCCAGACAAAACAATCTTAGCTCCCTGAATAAACTAGAGGGTGCTAATTTTGTACTGAGTATACTGTCAGCCTTATGACACAAGTTGACTTATGTTGACACCTTAATGGCATTCATTTTTAAACAGTCTATTTCAATTTTCATTTTGTATTCAATCCAGAGCTAAAATACACATGACTATAAATTTTCAGGGGTCACAAAGTCTCTCCGTAGATTACTTAACTAGAGATTTACAATGGACTTATGGCAGCTTACCCAAATGATCAAACTTAGTTTCACTAATGCAAGGACCTGTGCTTAAATGTTTTCTGACAGTAAAACATGACATACAAATAGCCTGCAAAGTATTCTTCCCCAAAATGTTTAATCTGACCTAACAGTGCCTCTGGACTCAAATTCCCTTGTCAGAATACGCAACAAAGAGAACATGGCTAAATGACATTATAAAGAAAGAAATCTAAACACATAGACAACTTTCCTGGGCTAGTCAAAATTCAATCTTTTTTTTTTTTTTTTTTTTTGAGACGGAGCCTTGCTCTGTCGCCCAGATTGGAGTGCAGTGACCGGATCTCAGCTCACTGCAAGCTCCGCCTCCCAAGTAGCTGGGACTACAGGCGCCCGCCACCTCGCCCGGCTAGCTTTTTTTTTTTATTTTTTAGTAGAGACGGGGTTTCACCATGTAGGCCAGGATGGTCTCGATCTCCTGACCTCGTGATCCTTCCGTCTCAGCCTCCCAAAGTGCTGGGATTATAGGCTTGAGCCACCGTGCCCGGCTTCAATCTCATTTTTTAAGAATGAGGAGATGGATCAGGCCTTTTCAAAACTATCAAGCAGATAGTCAGGCTCTGTGAAGTGTGCCAAAGAAATAATCCCCTGCACCACAGACCATACATTTCAATCCCTGTATCTTTAACCTACTTGTTAAGTTTGTCTCCTCCAGAATCGAAGCTGTAAAGCTACAAATTGTTCTTCAAATGGAGCCCCAGATGCAGTCCATGACTAAAATCTACCGCAGACCCCTGGACTGGCCTGCTAGCCCATGCTCCAGACATCGAAGGCACCCCTCCCGAGGAAATCTCAACTGCACAACCTCTACTATGTCCCAATTCAGCAGGAAGCAGTTGGATCAGTCATCAGTCAACCTCCCCAATAGCACTTGGGTTTTCCTGTTGAGGGGGTTACTGAGAGACAGGACTAGCCGGATTTCCTAGGCCAACAAAGAATCCCTAAGCCTAGCTAGGAAGGTGACCACATTCACCTTTAAACATGGGGCTTGCAACTTAGCTCACACCTGACCAATCAGGTAGGAAAGAGAGTTCACTAAAATGCTAATTAGGCAAAAACAGGAGGTAAAGAAATAGCCAATCATCTATTGCCTGAGAGCACAGCGGGAGGGACAATGATCGGGATATAAACCCAGGCATTCGAGCCGGCAATGGCTACCCTCTTTGGGTGCCCCCCCGGCCTTTGTATGGGAGCTCTGTTTCCACTCTATTAAATCTTGCAACTGCGAAAAAAAAATGCACACATGATGTTTGGAAAATGCACACATGAAATGCACACATGATGTTTGGAAAATGGACCTGATCATCTTGCTCACCACAGGGTTGCCACAAACCTTCAATTTGCATAAAACACAATAACTGCAATGCACAATTCAGTGAGGTATGCCTGTATCTGGTCAAGTATTTCATAGGGAGTATATTGTGAACATAACAACTACCCTATATTCCTCATTCAAAGACTTTCTCACAAGAATTATCTTCTCCAAACACTAAGGTATTTAGTGTGGCTATAAAACGCCCCACATTCCTTACACCCAGAGATTTCTCGGAAGTATGAATACTCTGATGTTGAGCAAATCCCAGGCCATGATGAAAGTTCTTCACACATTCTTTTATGTTCACAAGATTTCTCATCAATATGAGCTCTCCGGTGTTGAGTAAATTTTTCATACACAGTGAATGCTTGTCCACACTCCTTATAGTCATAAAATTTCTAACTATTATGAATTTTCTGATGTTAAGAAAGCTGATAATCCACAGTAAATGCTTTCCCACATTCCTTATATTCTAGGGTTTCTCACCAGTATGAATTTTAACGTGTTGAACAATGTTTGAGCTACAACTAAAGGTCTTCCCACATTCTGTACATTCACACAGCTTCATACCAGTGTGAATTCTTTGATGTGCAGTCAGGACCAAACTAAATCTAAGTTTTCCCACACTCCTTACATTCATAGAGTTTCTCACCCGTATGAATACTCTGATGTTGAATAAGGTTTGAGCCACTATTGAAGGCCTTCCCACATTCCTCAAATTCAAATGGCTTCTCGCCAGTATAAATGATCTGAAGTCCAGCAAGCTGTGTCAGAAAACTAAAGGCCTTTCCACATTCTTTACATTCAAAGGGTTTTTTTTTTTTTTACCAGTGTGAATTTGGTAATGTTCAGTAAGTTGGTAATGATATCTAAAGGTCTTCCTCCACTCCTTACATACAAAGAGTTCCTCACTGGAATAAATTTTCTGATGCTGAGTAAGGTTTGAACCACGATTGAAGCCTTTCCCACACTCCTTACATTCACATGGTTTTACACCAGCATGAATACTCTGATGTTGAACATGGTTTGAGACACGATTAAAGGATTTTCCACATTCCTTACATTCAAGATGGCTTCTCACCTGTATGAACATTCTTATGGCGATTAAGCTGGGTGGGAAGACTAAAAACCTTTCCACACGCCTTACATTCAAAGGGTTTCTCACCAGTATGCAATTTCTGGTGTCGAATAAGTTGCATATGAAGTCGAAAGGCTTTCCCACACTCCTTACATTCAAAGGGTTTCTCACTAGTATGCAATTTCTGATGTCGAATAAGGTGCATATGAAGTCGAAAGGCTTTCCCACATTCCTTACATTCAAAGGGTTTCTTTCCAGTATGAATACTTCGATGTTGATTAAGATTTGAACCACGACGGAAGAATTTCCCACATTCCTTACATTCAAAGGGTTTCTCACCTGTATGAGTTTTCTGATGTTATATGAAAGTTGTAGGTAAAGTCTAAAGCCTTCCCATTCCTTACATTCATAGGGCTTCTCACCAGTGTGAATACTCTGATGTTGAACAAGGCTCGAGCCACGATTGAAGGCTTTCCCACAGTCTTTACATTCAAACAAACATCACCAGTGTAGATCAGAATGTTCAATAAGTTGGCAATGATATCTAAAGGCCATCTCACATTCCCTACATACAAAAGGTTTCTCATTGGAATGAATTTTCTGATGCTGAATAAGGTGCGCACCACGGTCAAAGCCTTTCCTCACCCACATTCATATGGTTTTACACCAGCATGAATACTCTGATGTTGAGCAAGGTTTGAGCTACGATTAAAGGACTTCCCATTCCTTGTACATTCAAATGGTTTTTCACCTGTGTGAATGTTCTTATGGCGATTAAGCTGGTTGAGAAGACTAAAGGCCTTCCCACATTCTCTGCATTCAAAGGGTTTCTCACCAGTATGAATCTTCTGATGTCGAACAAGCTTTGTCAGAAGAGTAAAGGCCTTTCCACATTCTTTACATTCAAAGGGTTTCTCACCAGTATGAATTTGGCCATGTTCAATAAGTTGGTAATGATATCTAAGGCCATCACATTCCCTACATGCAAAGGGTTTTCTCATTGGAATGAATTTTCTGATGCTGAATAAGGTGTGCACCACGGTGAAGCCTTTCCACCACTCCTTACATTCATATGGTTTACACAGCATGAATACCTCTGATGTCCTTACATTCATATGGTTTTACACCAGCATGAATACTCTGATGTTGAACAAGGTTTGAACTACGATTAAAGGACTTCCCACATTCTTTACATTCAAACAGTTTCTCACCTGTGTGAATGTTCTTATGGCGATTAAGCAGGGTAAGAAGACTAAAGGCCTTTCCACATTCGTTACATTCAAAAGGTTTCTCACCAGTATGAAATTTCTGATGTCGAGTAAATTGTATGTGAAGTCGAAAGGCTTTCCCACACTCCCTACATTCAAAGGGTTTCTCTCCAGTATGAATACTCTGATGCTGAAGAAGATTTGCACTACGACTAAAGTATTTCCCACATTCCTTACATTCATATGGTTTATGTGTATTGCAAATAAGAGAAGCATGAGGAGTATAAGTAGGCAGTTTTTCACAGCTGATCATCTTTTGATTGATATGTCCTTCTTGATACCCCTGTAGTCCCTCAAATCTTCCATATTCTGAGTAGTTTCTAAAATAAAAGGCCTCGAGGCTAAGAGTTGTACTTATGTGCTTTATAACCTGTTTGGGTAAATTTACTTCAGAGATGCCATTTTCTGGAGATACTTTCTCAGGTCCATATTTTAACTCCAAATCTGAAAGAAACGAAGAAAGCAAACCTATTTTATTTTCCTATAACATACATGCAAAGTCCTTTCATCAACTGAAACCATCAATTCAAACCAATAAAACCTTTATTGGTTTTATTAGCTAAAACCAACAAAGTTGGTAGATAGAACCTTTCTCGTATCACTTCCGTTTCCAGTGGAAGCAAATGCACATCTGAGCCAGCCTGGTTATGTACATGTAAAAATAGGAAAATGAACCACTGAATGTTGAACCTAACTAGGTCGACTATCTGTTGAAACATATTGATATGTTCTATAGGACTTAAGACCATGAGACCCATAGCTTCATAGTCAGTAATTAGAATGTCCAGGATACAATCCAAATATACTGGCATATACAAGAAAATTTCAACTCACATTAGAAAAGAAAATCAACAGCAGCATTCTGCCAGGGGCCTGGGGATCACTCCACCCCTACTTACCATAAGAACCAGCACGTAAAACTGGGGGGCCTAAGGTCAGGTCCACCAGACCCAGCTCTGTGCCCAAGTCCCCAAGCACACCATCTGGGAACCTGGGGATCACCCTGATCCATCTACCACCTTTGCTGCCTAAGCACTCGTCACAGAGGCCTGAGGTCAGACCCATATAACCTGCTGCTACCTCCACAACTGGCACCCACCTGTACTCACAACTAGATGTTCTGTGGACTGGCTCACCCAGCCCATCACAGTCACCTCCAACACCAAGCACTTACTGCTTGGGAGCCAGAAGTCTGTCCTGTTCACTACTACTGCCACCACCCATGCCACACTTGCTGCCCAAGAGTCCAAGAACCCATCCACCCACCCAGCATACCATTATCATCCAAACCACAAGGAGGCCAAAGAATCAATGTGCCTAGACACACTAATACTAGTACCAGCACAGACTACCCTGGGGCCCCAAAACAGCCATGTCTGGACTGCTACTGCCACCACCAGAGGCTAAGGACTTGCCTACCTAGTGTCCTAGTGCTAGGCCATTCTTGCATTAAAGGAATACCTGAGACTGGGTAATTTACGAAAAAATGAGTATTAACTGGCTCATGGTTCTGCAGGTTGTACAAGCATGGCACTGGCATCTGCTCAGCTTCTGGGGAGGCCTTAGCGGGCTGTTACTCATCAAAGAAGGCAACACAGGTCAAAGAATGTCGCACAGCAAGAGAAGGAGCAAGAGAGAGAACAAGGAGAAGTGCCATATACTTTTAACAACCAGGTCCTGCAAGAACTCACTCACTATTGTGAGGACAGCACCAAGGGGGTGGTGCTAAGCCATTCATGAGAAATCAACTCCCATGATCCAATTACCTCCCACCAGGCCCCATCTCCAACACTGGGGATTACATTTCAACTTGAGATTTAGAGGGGAAAATACCTAAACTGTATCACTTCTCATCCCCAATAAAACTTCACCATACCCTCCATTAACCATCACAACCAAAACCAATGAAGAAATCACACACACCAATGACACTGTTTACAGTCAAAAAAAAAATCATAACACTACATAACAACACTACTGCACACACCCAGAATCAAAGCGAAAATGCCCTATCCAACCCTATTAACCATAGATACATCTTTAGGAAAAAAGCCTCCCCTACAAAAGCAAATTCAAAAAAATGAGAATAAACACAGGAAGTAACAAAAAAAAAAAAAAGAAGGAAACATGACATCTCCACAGGAACATAATAATTCTCCAGAAACATTCCAATGGGGGAAAAATGTTATATCCTAGCAAAATAATTCAAAAATAATTATATTAAAGAAGCTAAGCGAGATACAAGAGAATTTGGAAGAACAATACAAAGAAATCAGAAAAAAAAACAAAAAACAAAAAAAACCCTCAGGATAAGAAGAAGAAATTTACCAATTTCATTATAAAAAAGAACCAAACAGAAATTCTGAAACTGAATAATTCATTGAATAAAATATAAAATACATTCAAAATCTTCAACAACAGACTAGATCAAGTAGAAGAATCTCAGAACATAAAGCCAATTCTTTTGAAATAACCCAGTCAGACAAAAACAGAAAAAGAAAAAAAGAAGAATAAACAAAGACCCTATATGGGACATCATAAAACAACCAAATATTTGAAATTTTGAGGTCCTAGAGATGAAGAGAAAAAATAAAGGAAAGAAAATCTATTTAATGAAATAATAGCTGGAAACTTTCCAACTCTAGCAAGAGATGTAGACATCCAGATATAGGAAGCTCAGAGATACCCAAATAGATAACAACACAAAAAAGTCTTCTCCATGGCACATTATGGTCAAAATACAAAAGTCAAAGACAAAGAGAGAATACTAAAAACAGCAAGAGAAAAGCATCTAGTTACTTACAAGGGAACTCTCATCAGCCAAATAGCAGATTTCTCAACAGAAAGAAATGAGAGAGAATGAAATGATATATTCAAAGTGTTGAAAGAAAAAACTTGCCAATCAAGGATACTATCCTCAGCAAATTATCCAACATAAATGAAGAAGAAATAATCTTTCCCAGACAAAAGCTGAGGGTAGACCAGCTCTACAAGATATGCTTAAGAGTCCTACACTTAGAAGTGAAAGAATATCTACCATTCTGAAAACATACAAAATTATAAAACCCACTGACACAGCAAATACACAAATAAGGAGAAAGAACTCAAATGTTATCCCTATAGAAAACAACCAAACCACAATGATAAAAAATAAAAGAGAAAGAAAGGAACAAAGGATATACAAATCAACTAGAAATCAATTAATAAAATGACAAGAATAAGCCCTCACATATCAGTAATCTCACTGAATGTAAATTGATTAAACTTTTCATCTAAAAGATATAGACTGGCTGAATGGATTAAAAAAAAAAGTGACCCAGTTATATGCTGCCAACAAGAGACTCATCTCACTGGTAAAGAAACATATGGATTGAAAGTAAAGGAATAGTAAAAGATATTCTATGCAAATGGAAACCAAAGTGAGCAGGAATAGCTATATTTATATCAGACAAAAAAGATTTTAAGTCAAAAGCAGCAAAAAGAGACAAAGAAGGTCATGGTATAATGATAAAGGGATCAATTCAGCAAGAGGATATAATAATTCTAAACATACTATAATCCAAACACCAGAACACCCAGATATATAAGGTGAATATTATTAGATCAAAAGGGAGAGAGATATACTCCAGGGCAATAATCACTGGGGACTTCAACACCCCACTCTGAATTAGACAGATCATCTAGATAGAAAATTAACAAAGAAATATTGGATTTAAACTTCACATTAGACAAAACATGCCTACCAGACATTTACTGAACATTTCATCAAATAGCTACAGAATACACATACTCTCATTAGCACACAGAACATTCTCTAGGATAGACCATATGTTAGGATGCAATTCTTAACAAATTCTTCAAAACCAAAATTATATCAAGTCTTTTCTCAGACATGGAATAGAACAAGAAATCAGTAACAAGACGAACTTTGGAAACTGTACAACACATGGAAATTAAACAACCTGCTCATACATAATCACTGGGTCAAGAAAGAAATTAAGGAGGAAATCAAAAAATTTCTTGAAACAAATGAAAATCAGAATTCAACATAGCAAAACCTATGGGATATAGCAAAAGCACTGCTAAGAGTGAAGTTGATGGCAATAAACGCCAACATTGAAAAAGCAGAAAGATTTCAAATAAACAATCCAATGAAATCAGGGCAGAACTAAATAAAATACAGACTAAATAATACAAAAGATCAATGAAATGAAAAGTTTTTTTAAAAAAAACATAAATATAATTAATAAACCACTAGCTTGACTAACCAAGAAGAAAAGAGAATAAGCAAAATCAGAAATAAAAAAGGAGATATTACCACTGACACCACAGAAACAGAAAAGATCATCAAAACAGAAAAGCTGAACAGGCCAATAATGAGTAATGAGATTGAATCAGTAATAAAATGTCGCCCAAAAAAGAAAACTCCAGGACTGATGACTTCCCTGCTGAATTCTATCTACCAAACTCTCAAAGAACTAATACCAATTCTCCTCAAACTATTCCAAAAAATTTCAGAGGAGGAAATTCTCTTTAACTCATTCTATGAAGCTGGCATAATATGAAACAAAAACCAGACAAGGAAGAAACAAAAAAAGAAAATAGTTCTAACCTAAAGGCACATGAATGCCTATGTTTATTGTAGCACCATTCATAATAGCAAAGACATAGAATTTTTTTTTTTTTTTTTTTTTTGAGAAGGAGTCTCGCTCTGCCGCCCAGGCTGGAGTGCAGTGGCCGGATCTCAGCTCACTGCAAGCTCCGCCTCCCGGGTTCACGCCATTCTCCTGCCTCAGCCTCCGAGTAGCTGGGACTACAGGCGCCCACCACCGCGCCCGGCTAATTTTTTGTATTTTTAGTAGAGACGGGGTTTCACCGTGATAGCCAGGATGGTCTTGATCTCCTGACCTTGTGATCCGCCCGTCTCGGCCTCCCAAAGTGCTGGGATTACAGGCTTGAGCCACCGCGCCCGGCCGCAAAGACATAGAATTAACTTAAATGTCCATGAATGGTTACCTGGCTAAAGAAAATGTGGTACATATAGCCCAAGGAATACTACGTAACCATAAAAAAGAACAAGATTATGTGCAGCAATGTGGATGGCACTGGATGCCATTATCCTAAGCAAATTAATGAAGGAACAGAAAACCAAAGACTACATATTCTCACTTATAAGTGGGAGCTAAACACCGAGTACACATGGACACAAAAAAAACAGAACAACAGACATCAGGGCCTACTTGAGAGTAGAGGGTGGGAGGATGAAGATCCAAAAACTACCTATTGGGTACTATGCTTATTATCTGGGTGGTGAAATAATCTGTATACCAAACCCACCACAACGTGCAATTTACCCATATAACAAACCCACTCATGTACCCCTTGGACCTAAAATAAAAGTTGGAAAATAATAATTAAAAATAAATAAAGAAATGGTGCTGGATATCCATATGCGATAGAATGAAACCAGACCCCTATTTCTCACCATATACAAAAATCAACTGGAAATGGATTAAAGACTTAAATGTAAGACTCAACACTACAAAACAACTAAAAGAAAACATAAAGGAAGTGCTTCAGGACATTGACCTAGGCAAAAATTTTCTGGTTAACACTGCAAAGGCACAGGCAGCAAAAACAAAAACAGATCAATGGAACTGTATTAAACTAAAACGCTTCTGCAGAGCAAACGAAAGTATCAACAGAGGGAATAGACAAAATTAAATGACAGAAGTTATTTGCAAACTATTTCTCTGACAAGACTCAAATAACAGCCAAAAAAAAAAAATCCTATTAAAAAGTTGGCAAATGGGCTGGGCACAATGGCTCACGCCTGTAATCCCGGGAATTTGGGAGGCTGAGGTGGGCAGATCACCTGAGGTCAGGAGTTCAGGAACAACCTGGCCAACACAGTGAAACCTCATCTCTACTAAAAATACAAAAATTAGCCAGGTGCAGTGATGGGCACCTGTCATCCCAGCTACTTGGGAAGCTGAGGCATGAGAATTGCTTGAACCCAAGAGGCAGAGGTTGCAGTGAGTCAAGATCACATCACTGCACTCCACACTGCAGGACAGAGTAAGATTCCATTTAAAAAAAAAAAAAAAAGTTTACACTGGGAAAACCAGAGGGAACTTACTCCACTAAAAGGGGAAGGAAATAAGAGAACAGAAATTAGGTGGTTAGTAAATGATGAAGTTCCTTGGAGACGGCTTCTGCTATAATCTTTACTTCCTTCCCAGGTCTTGGGCATTTTTATCCAACACAACTTAGGTCATCGAAGAAAGTTTTTCAAACCACATCTCAGGGGTGTGACTCCTTTCTGAGCACATGGCTGTCCGGGACAATGATGGCTTCCCCCTGCCTGCTTTACCCTCACTTACCTGGATACCATCTGCTTGTTTCTTTCCTTACAACCATCCAGGGCTCTTTCTCTTGCTCAAGTAATGTAATCACATCTGGTTTAGAAATGGAACTTCCTGCGTAAAAGAAATGACACATGTAGAATTTTTTAATACAAAAAATTTTTTTTTCAAATCTTTGTGACCTGCTTAAACTTATAATAAATTACAAGTCAAAACAATATTGAGAAGAGACTTCAGATAAGAGTGAGAGGTTGAGTAAGAGAACTCTTTTCTAACTCAGAATCTTATCCCTCAAAAAGAGGTATAACTGAATGGTTGAGAGCAGGAAACTTCAAGCCAGACTGCCATGTTCAAATCCTGTCTCTGCTACTCACTAGCAGTATGACCTCAGGTAAGTCATTTAAACTCTGTCCTTCAGTTTTCCCAGCTCTAAAATGGGGATGATGTAACACCTATTTTATAGGATTGATACTAAGACTAAATAAGTTAATATAAGTAAAATACTTCTAACATTGCCTGATATACAGTAGCACAAAGTCAAGATTATGTTTATTATTGTCATTTATTTTGCATCCTTAGACATGTACAGCTCACTCAGTATATTCACTCAATGAAAATACATAAACTCCATAGCCTGAAACTTTCAGCTATAAAACAAGTAACGCAATATTTATTGAAGGAAATGAAATGCATTCACCTTAGTGTTAAATGAATTTCTGTCAACCCAATCAGTGTATGTAAATAACAGACATTTTTGTTTGTCTGTTTTTGTTTTTCAGACAAGGTCTCAGTCTATTGCCCAGGCTGGAGTGCAGTGATGGGTACAGCTCACTGCAGCCTCAACCTCCCAGTGATCATAGAGGTTTCTTTGATAGAAAAAATCAAGACACTCTTCTCCTTACAGGTGGGCCAAAAAAATAAAAACAACCCAACAAACAGAAAATCTACAGTAATTCTGACATCAAACATAACATGAAACCTGGTTCTTAGACAATATCTTTCAATGAACGTACAAGATTTCAAATTCAGCCCCATGGTCATGGAGAGAGAGAGGAAATTACAGAAAGGACCAGTGTAATGGAGGCCACTGTGGAGTAGGCAAGATACAGGGGCTCAGGGAGGTGCCTGTTTTCAACCCAACAAATCTCAATCCATTCCTTTGGGAACAAGAAGAAGGAATTCAGCCACCTCTTAAAAGATAGCCCTGAAATTCATGGTGAAGAAAGCTGATATTCCAGAGAACAGACACAAAAATAACTGGGACCAATGACCTTACCCAGTGAGATCAGGTGGCTGTAGTTCTCCAACATCACGTCCCTGTACAAGGTCCTCTGTTCAGGCTGCAGGCACTCCCACTCCTCCTGAGAGAAGTCGATGGCCACATCCCTGAATGTCACTGATCCCTGAAACCACAAACACATGTATTATGGTGAAATCGAAGAGAATTGTTTCAAGACGAAAGGAGAGGAAGTGAAGGAATGTACTGTAAGAAAAAAGCAATATGGAAATTCACAGAGTGCCTGCACATTCTTCAAGAATCCTGCTGCTGGCTGAGCACAGTGGCTCATCCCTATAGTCCCAGCTACTCAGGAGATCGAGGTGGGAGGATTGCTTGAGCCCAGGAGTTTGAGACTAGCCTGGGCAACATAATGATATCCCGTCTCTGCAAAAATTAAACAAATAACTGTGTATGGTATCACGTACCTGTAGTCCCAGCTACTTGGGAGACTGAGGTAGGAGTATCGCTTGAGCCCAGGAGTTCAAGGCTACAGTGAACTGTGATCATACCACTGCACTCCAGCCTGGGCCACAGAGCAAGACCCTGTCTCAGAAAAAAAAAAAAAAAAAGGTGGGGGTTGCATACAATTGAAGAATGTTCTTAATCCTCAAGCTCATTATGGTATGAGATGATAGCAAAAGTATTTTTTCTAGTCATGACAAATGATTTTTAAAAGCTGCATGAAAGTCAGTATAACTGACATATTAGATTTATTCATTTTTTTCTATTTATACATTGAGGATGGCCAGGGCCTCTAAGGATTTTCCCAATTCTGATAATTTTTTTTTTTTCCTGAGGCAAAGTCTCACTCTGTTACCCAGGCTGGAGTGCAGTGGCACGATTGCAGCTCACTGCAACCTCCACCTCCCGGGTTCAAGCAATTCTCCTGCCTCAGCCTCCTGTGCAGCTGGAATTACAGATGCGTACCACCACAATAGGCTAATTTCGTTGTTGTTGTTGTTGTTAGAAGAGACGGGGTTTCACCATGTTGGCCAGGCTGGTCTCAAACTCCTGACCTCAAGTGATCCACCACCCGCTTCGGCCTCCCAAAGTGCTGGGACTGCACACGTGAGCCACCATGTCCGGCCACAGAATCTGTAATCACCTATCATTCATGCCCTGAATTATCTTCTCCCTGTTACTGCCCACTGTCCTCACTGATCATTTTCCTAAAAGCCTCATAAAGCAGAACATCTTGTCACACTTGCAGACTGAGGCCACTCACTACGGAATTCTACCTTAGCTACCTGGAAGGCTCTAGTCTGTGAAGTTTCAAAGTGTTCCCAAGTGTGGTCAATCATCTGTAACTTATCAAACCCATAAGACCCTGTTTCCCTGTGAGGACTGATTCCTCCACTGTTCCAATATTCTTCCTGACCAAGGTCTGAGCACAGAGCACAGACTGAATAACCTGTTCAAAGAAAACATCAAAGCCAGTAGGAAACAGTGGTACAAATAGGAAAAGCACTGACTTTTTTTTTTTTTTTTTTTTTTGGTCACCAACCTTCACTATAATGGGACAAACTGGGGTGTAAGATCATAGATCCTAGGTAAGAAGCTTCAGGTTAAATAATAACAGTTACCTAACCCGAAAGTCACCATATTTGAAGGAAAAGAGAGAAATACCAACTTACATGGACCATGTTTCTAGAATTACAAAATTGGTCAGTCTTCCTCGTGCTTCTCCCCTGGAAAACAACAACAAAAAAAGGCCATAATTAAAGCTGTGTCTCAATGCTCTCAAAGCATTGAAGCAAATAACTATTTTATTCTCCATCGTATTTCTCAACTACTCCTGCTAACATGCACACTTCCACCACCTCCCATCACTCCCCTTGTCCCCACACATACTCTCTCACAAATAAACTGGCAGTGAATAGGTGGAGTTGGGATGAAACCAAGCTCTCGCCTATATCCAAGGCAATCTGCGGCAGAAGCATGAATGCTGAGCACAGGCATTTCTGCCTTGAAGTTGTGGCTTCCAGCCAGTCCTCCATTCTTCCATTCTTGGGATACCTATCTTGGCCTAGGACTGGACCTCTGATCCTGCCCTAAGCAGATCCTCCTCCCCTAGTCCCACCTTTCAGAGCTGAGAAGGGATCGCATCATCCAATCCAGAACCTCTTTGTGAAATCAGGATTGGGTGCAGTGGGGCAAGGCATGAGAACTGGAAAGGATATATAGACAGAATTGCAAGGGCAGTGTTCAGCATTCTGAGTTCAGCAAAAGCCAGTTGGTTAATACAGTTTAGAACATCCACGTAATACAATACGTGGTATTCTATGATTAACAGAAAAATCAGATTACAAAACAGGATAATATGATTACATTTGTAAAATATATGTATATAGAAATATTAATAAGACTAACAGACATCAATAGAAAAAAATTTAGAAAATTATATGCATGTTAAGAGTTCTCCTCTGTGTAGCTCCAATTTTCTTCTTTTTGCTTAAGAAGCAAAAAGGTGTGGCTGGGCACGGTGGCTCACACCTGTAATCCCAGCACTTTGGGAGGCCAAGGCAGGCAGATCATGAGGTCAGGAGATTGAGACCATCCTGGCCAACATAGTGATACCCCGTCTCTACTAAAAATACAAAAATTAGCTGGGTGTGGTGGCACATGCCTGTAATCCCAGCTACTCGGGAGGCTGAGGCACAAGAATCACTTGAACCCAGGAGGCAGAGGTTGCAGTGAGCCGAGATTGCGCCATTGCACTCCAGCCTGGCAACAGAGCGAGACTTCATGTCAGAAAAAAAAAAAAAATTGTAACTACATCCAGGCATTAACTTGGAATATTTATAGTTATATTCACATATATATATATATCTATACACACACACGTGTGTGTGTATGCACCTCTATATATGGACATATGTAAATGTATATACACGTTTCTTTCCTATGAGGAAACTTCTCCAAATTAGATGAAAGACACTTTTTATTTAGATATCTCCCTTTGAACTTGGGGGGGAAAAATCAGGATAGTCTAATGAGCTGTTGTTTTTACTTAATGAGTTTGTTTCCTTTATTTTCCAATTCTTGACCAACACTAAGATGTCTATGTTTTTCTATGTATGTTGGAACAATTTCTAGAAAAAAATTTCTGCAAGTCCCCAACCAATGTCTTATATACATTAATGATAGTCTATTTCTACTTTCGAAGTAAAAAATAAAAACAGAGTTATCAGGAAAAAAACCTGAGCCTGTCATGAGGTTCAACAAGAGGTTAATGTGACTATAAAAAATAACATCAGGTAGTTCTAATATCCTTTAGCTGTATCTCACCAATATAATTAGATATTCTCATTATCAAGATTCTTCTTCGAATGAACACAATGCAGGTAAGTGGCATTTGCAAACTATGTGAGAAAATTTGTGGAATATACACCACTATGCTTGGTTTCCTTCTTTACCAAATAACCAATTAAAATATTATTTTAGATATAACTCTTATAGAATGCCTTTAGATATGATTCTTACAGAATTCTTATATAAAAACCCTATCTTAGTATATGGGATTCATATACAATATAACAATTTCTTTTGGGGGGGCAGGGGTGAAGTCTTGCTCTGTCACCCAGGCTGGAGTGCTGTGGCCTGATCTCAGCTCACTGCAACCTCTGCCTCCCAGGTTCAAGCAATTCTCCTGCCTCAGCCTCCTGAGTAGCTAGGATTACAGGCGCCCGCCACCACCCCTGGCTAGTTTTTGTATTTTTAGTAGAGACAAGGTTTCACCATGTTGGCAAGGCTGGTCTCAAACTCCTGACCTCAAATGATCTGCCTGTCTCAGCCTCCCAAAGTGCTGGGATTACAGGTGTGAGCCACCGTACCCTGTCTCATGTAACATTTTCTTGAGTATTATTGCTCATAGCATGAATATTGCTTAATGATATATCAAATATTTTTCTTTTCATAATTCCTTATAGACATCATTTTATTTACCTGCATAATACTCTATCACTTGAGTCTAATATGATTAACTTAATGATTTCTGTATTACAGAACACTTAGTTTATACAAGATCATTTATAATGTCATTCCAGATGTCACAATCTTTTGATTCTAGACCATGGTTTCTCACCCTAGGCACTAATGACATATTGTGCTAGATAATTCTTAGCTGGGGGAGCGGGGAGAGCTATCCTGTGCATAATACAATGTTCAGCAGCATTCCTGACCTCCATCCATTAGATCTAAGTAGCACCCTCCCCGACATCATGACAACCAAAAGTTTCTAAATATCACCCCAGCTGAAAAACAACGTTCTATCTAGATCAATGGATCCAAACCTCATAGGTCACATAAATTTTTTGATAATCTTATGAAATGATACACTATTTCTCCCTCTAAAACCCACATTTATAAATTTCCATAATACTTCAATATTTTATTTCAAGAGCTTTTGGTCCCTGAGACCATAAATGGAGTCACAAGAACTCAGGTTAAGAATTTCTGTCCTACATTCCTTACAGAAATAGGAAAAAACAAAAAATGCAAAACTTTGTATAGAACCACAAAAGACCCAAATAGCTAAAGCAATCTTGAGCAAAAGGAACAAAGTTGGAGGCATCAAACTATCTGACTTCAATATATACTACAAAGCTATAGTAACCAAAACAGCAGGGTACTGACATAAAAAAAGACATATAGACCAAAGAAACAGAATAGAGAGGCCCAGAATAAATCCATATATTTACAACCAACTGAGTTTTGAGGAAGGTGTCACGAACATACAATGGGGAAAAGACTCTTCAAAAAATACTACTGTGAAAAGTAGGTATCCATATGCAGAAAAATGCAATTAGACCCTTATCTCAAACCATTATACAAAAATCAACTCTAAACAGATTAAATACTTAAATGTAAGATCCTAAACTATGAAACAAATAGAAGAAAACATAGGGGGAAAGTTCTATGAAACTGATCTGAGCAATGATTTTTTTTGGGATATGACCTCAAAAGCAAAGGCAACAAAAGCAAAAATGAACAAATGAAATGATATCAAGCTAAAAACCTTCTGCACAGAAAAGGAAACAATCAGCAAAGTGAAGAGACATCTTGTAGAATGAGAGAAAATATTTGCAACCATATATATGATAAGAGATTAAGATCCAAAATATATGAGGAAGTCAAACAACTCAACAGCAAAAAAAAAAAAACCTGATTAAAAGATGGGCAAAGGACCTGAATAGGCACATCCCAAAAGAAGACATAAAAAATGGCCAACAGTATATGAAAAAATACTCAACATCACTAATCATAAAGGAAATGAAAATTAAACCCGCAATAAGATGTTACCTCATACCTGTTAGGGTGGCTACTAGAAAGACAAATGTTAACAAGTATTGGCAAGAATGTAGAGAAAAGGGAACTCTTGCACACTGTGGGCAAGAATGTAAATGGGCACAGCCATTATGTAAAACAGTATGGAGGTTACTCAAAAAGTTAGAAATACAACTACCATATGATCCAGTAATCCCAATACTGGGAATATATCTCCAAAGGAAATGAAATTCGTATGTCAAAGAGATATCAGCACAGCCATGTTTATTACAGCACTATTCACAATAGCCAAGATGTGGCATCAACCTACATGTCTAACAATGAATGAATGGATAAAGAAAATGTGGCATATATGCAGGTATATATACACAAGGGAATACTATTTAGCCATAAAAAGCAGGAAATTCTGTCATTTGCAAAAACATGGATGAGCCTGGAGAACATCATATTAAGTGAAGTAAGCCAAGCACAGAAAGACACATGATCTCACTCATCAGCCAAATCTAGAAAAGTTGATACCACAGAAGTGGAGAGTAGAATGGTATTTACAGATCTGGGATAATGTGGGTGAGGGAGGAAGGAGGGCAGTGTTGACTGGGGAAATGTTGGTCAAAGGATACAAAATTTCAGGAAGAGAAATAAGTTCAAGAGATCTATTATACAACATGGTATCTACAATTAATAACAATATTCTGTAGCCTTGAAAAATGCTAGGGGAGTGGATATTAAGTGTTCTTACCACAAAAATGATAACTATGTGAGGTAATGCATTGCTAATTAGTTAGATTTAGTCATCCCACAATGTATACATACCATAAAACTTCACGTTGCACATGATAAATACATACAATTATATCTGTCGATTTAAAAAGAATTTCTGTCCTAGATCATTTGAGCACCTCACTCATTTTCTTAATATACAAGCAGCAGTCGCAATAAATCACATATTCCCAATGTTCCTGTTCTATAGAGAGTCAAGGGGAATGACTTAAAATGACTACACAAAAACAACAGTTAAAACATATTAAACGTTATTATATGCCTATCTCTGCTCTAAGGGGCTTTACGATATTAATTCATTCTCATGACAGAACCAACATTCCAACCCAAATACTCTGGATCCACTCCCCTATTCTTAACCACAACAGTGTATTGCCTCTCACAGTACACACACACACACACACACACACGCCCAAAACACAACGGGAGCTGCCAAACCTCAGAGAGATCTGGCAAGTATTACAAATATCATCTCATGGACTCCCTGGAAAAATCCTGGCTCTTGTTGATACCAATTTCTGTGCGGTCACTTTTTCACTCCCGAATGCCTCACAGACTAATGGAAATCATCCAACCATCTCCGTTCTTCCCTGTTTTGAAAAGGAGGTCTGTAAAGACCAACTGACGTCTGGTGTGTGATTCCACCTAAACACTAATCTCCTCCTTCCCAAATATGGGTCTAAATGGAGTTTTAATATTAACTACTGGAGGTGTATTTCCATACCAGCTTCGAAAAAGAGAGCGCACAGGAAGGTGTGAACGATTTGCCAAATGGTTTTGTGAATATTAAGTGGAAAGGTGAAGGAGGGTGCACGAATTAATTTGCATATCCCCCTAGATTCACTGAAAATTTACGGGAATCTCAATATTCTAAAATCAAAAACGCATTTCTTGAGAAAATACAAAGCACGAACTCACCCTTGACTTTTAGATGTGCAGAAATAATGCTCTCATCTTCCTCCAGGTGCTTCTTTTGGATAATAACACGACTGGGGAAGGGTACGGCAAGCGTGAGACTCCAGGTTTTTCTTGGAGCGCAGACTAAGTTTGAAAGCACCCTCCCTCCATGGCCACAATTTCCCTCACTTCACACGAAATAGGAAGGAAGTAAAAGGAGGCGGAATCGGTTCAACCAGTACAACCAGTTTGGAGCTGCTTTCTGGGGACAGAGCTCTGAGGACGCTGTGGTTCTCAACATGTAGCTAGCCGCCCTCCTGGGGAACAGTCGGGGGCACTTCTGCGCTTTCTTGTGTAAAGCTTCATTCTTGGCTCAATATCTGACCTCCCTACTGGGGCCATTGCTCTGCTGCAGTCCCCGCAGCTGTGAAGGGGAAAGAGGGAGGAAGCAGCAGGAGCTTACGGGCACCGGCATAGTGACACTCACACAGCCCCAGCAAAGTGCGCTGCGTCCACACGCCTTCCCGGGCCTGTGCATAGGGCCTCACGCACACACTCACACAGTCCCCTCCGTCACTCATGATCTCACAATCCCCCTCCTCTGATACCCGCGCACACGCACGCCTGGGGATCCGACAGATCACGTCTGCGCCCCGGGGTTCCTACTCTGAGCACCTCCCTCTAGCCCACCCGCACTGTCGGGTCAGTCAGGCTCCAGCCCCAGTCCGCAGAGACCTCCCGCAGCCACGGATCTCTTCCTCCGACGTGAAGACCTCACCCCGCTACGTCGTCGACCCCTGGAGACCGGAAGTGAACTGGCGCGGTGGCCGCTGGGAAATACAGTCCTGAACAGAAAGAGCCTCAGAAGTCTTGAGCTCTGAACCGCTCTGGTTGATCCCACCATACTATGGGGGCTGACCCCAAAGGGAGCCGAGCCTAGTGGATTCGTGGGAGTTCCAGCCCGCGGGGTGCACAGGTTTCTGCCTTGGGCGAGGATCCCCATCTGAGAGGAGCGTTTCCCTCTCGGAGCGTCAGTATAACTTGCTTTTTCTCTCCATGGAGAATGCAAATGAGCAGAACGTTTAAAGAAGAAAGAATTTAAAGTAAAATTATGTCAAGATGTGGGTGCTTTAACTCCCAGCAATAGGCTTCCACTTCTCTGTGCTATTTGAAGGGGACTTAGGATAAATTTAAAAAGCTTGAACTAAAGAATTGGTTGGTTATATACTAGGAGAGGAAGTATGGTTCACATTGGAGATTTCAGAATCAAATGTCCTGGATTCCTCGAGACAATGTTCCTGTTACCTGGAGAGAAAAACGTGATTCAGGACGACATGGAAACGGATAAAAATATACAGAGAATTACTTGCTTTATCTTGAAGGATGAATGATTAACACTTCGTTAAAATAGTATAAACAAATGCAAAAAAAGGCTCGCTTTTCCTAGGAAGAGCCTGATTTCACTGTTGTAGTCTAACAACACTGAACTTTCAAAATCATTTTTCTAGTTTCCTGTGCTACATAAGGAGGAAACATGGAATACTAAAGAGCAAAACGTCTTTTCATTCCAGAATTGTGACAGAAAACGAATAACAAGATAATCAACTCAACCATATCAATAATCACATTAAATGTAAATGGTCTAAACACCTTAATTTAAAAAGATTGTCAGATTGGATTTTTAAAAAGTCAGACCCAAATGCCCATCAATGATAGACTGGATTAAGAAAATGTGGCACATATACACCATGGAATACTATGCAGCCATAAAAAATGATGAGTTCATGTCCTTTGTAGGGACATGGATAAAGCTGGAAACCATCATTCTGAGCACACTATTGCAAGGACAAAAAGCCAAACACCACATGTTCTCACTCATAGGTGGGAATTGAACAATGAGAGCGCTTGGACACAGGGTGGGGAACATAAGACACCAGGACCTGTCGTGGAGTGGGGGGAGCGGGGAGGGATAGCATTAGGAGGTATACCTAATGTAAGTGATGAGTTAATGGGTGCAGCACACCAACATGGCACATGTATACATATGTAACATACCTGCACGTTGTGCACATGTACCCTAGAACTTAAAGTATAATAAAAAAAGATAATAATAAAAAAATAAATAAATAAAAAGTCAGACCCAAATGTGTGCTACCTACAGGTAATATGTTAAATGAAAAGCACTAAAAGGTTAAGCATAAAAGGATGGAAAAATACACACCATCCTAACACTAGTCAAAAAAGTTGGAGTGGCTTTATTAAAAACAAAGTAGACTCCAGGACAAAGACTATTACCAGGGATAAAGAAGGGTACATCATAATAATGATAAAGCAGACAGCTCATCGAGTAGAAAAAACACACATAAATTTTGCTCCTAAAAGCAAAGCTTCTAAGTATGGGAAGAAAAATCCGTTCGATTAAAAAGGAGACAGATATACAATTATAGTCAGATATTTCAATATATCTATCTTGGTAACTGACAGAACAAACACAGAAAAGCAACAGGGTATAGCAGATTTGAGCTACATATCAACTTACTTGATCTCATTTATATTTGTGAAACACTCTCTTCAATGACAGTAAAATTCATTTATGTGGACAGGGGATACTTAACCAGTATAGGCAATGTTCTGGGCCATAAAACAAGTCTCAATAAACGTAAGAGGATTCAAGTCATACAAAGCATGTTGACAAAAATTGAATTACATTAGAAATCAATAACAGCTGAGTATATATTGTCCAAAGTAGTACAAATTTGAAAAGGTATGAATACTAAGGTAATTGAAACTATGTAATGTTTGAAAAATTTCTGTATTAATTATAATATTCTGTTATATCCTAAAGGGTAAAACAATAACATACATATGTTAAAGCAAAGTACCAATTTTGTAGTAAGCAAAAAAGATTTTTAAGCTATTTATGTTGACTAAACATTAGAATAAAGAGGAGAATAATTATATTTAAGTATATTCTGATACTTTAATCAATTTCCTAATCAATATCACCATTCTTTTTAAGTATTTTCTTTCAGTGTGGTCTATTATTTTTAAATTTTGATAAAATTTTATGCAATCTTCAATGTTGGACTTTGTGTTTAGTAAACTCAAAATTATAGCTACCTTCAAATGAACACCATTCTTTTTAAGTTGAGATATATCTCTGCATATACTAAGGTAACCAGAAGTCTCAGAATATATCCAATGAAATGGAAGATATCCTCACAAGTATTGTGAATATTGAATATGGAAAAATTAGATTGCAGTTAATATTCTAGCAGTTAATGTATCTTGCCTTCAAAGTACATCTCTTTTTTTGCCACCTTGTCTAAGAAGGGTACATTTCTTTGAGAATTATCTTTACAAGACAAACATAAAGGTTCTATTTATGATTCCTTTGAATATTAAGCCAAATTTAGATGCTGCAGTAACATAAGGCTTCTCAACTGCACTCCATTCTGACACAAATTGCAATTGATCCAGTTAAAAATTGGAGCATCACCAAAAGACTATTCCCATAGCTGAAGAAATTCCTAAGTAAAATTGAAGAATTTCAAAATTAAATCCTGTATGCCATCTGATATTTCATGACTTAATTCATTCAGTTTCTCGCTTAATTTGTAGCACTAAATCCCATTGTCTTCATGTTGGCAAGTTCTGATAACTGAAATTCAGTTGAATTTCTATGTTGAATAGGAGTGGTAAGAGAAGGCATCTTTGTCTTGTGCCAAATCAGTCCAATCTTAAACAACCAAAGGATTAAAGAACAAATACAAAAATTTAGAAAATATTTTCGATAAATACAAATAAAAACACATGTTACCAAAGTTTATGATATGCTTACTACTAAGAGAAAAATTTATAGCTCTACATGCCTATATGAAAGAAGAAAGATGTCAAATCAATAACCCAACTGTACAACTTTAGGAATTAGAACACAAAAAATAAGAAAACTAGTACCTTGAGCAGGGGGGAAAACATAGCTCTTAGTAACAGCATGGGAAGTTTCCTAGCTACACGAAGCAATTCAGACACATCAAGAAAAGCCAAGAGTACAGAATCAATTTATACTGGAAGAAAATATAGCTTTTCTTGACCTGCAAGATAAACATTTCAGCAATGGGCCATAACAGTAGAATTAAAACCGGGAGGGGGGAAATTTACAGGAGTTGAAAAAAAAAGGTGGAACGAGAAAGTTATCACCTTAGCCAAGCAAAAATAATATACCATTTCAAGAGGAGAAAGAACAGAAGGCTCACATCACAAGCAATGAGGTACTGTGAAGAATGATCTTCTGATAAATAAATCTGAGAAGTTCCAAAGAGAAAAAAATTTACCTTGAGAATAAAATCGCATTCTGAATGAAAAAGATAGCATTTCAAACCTGAAACTAGGGAGGTTGATTATATCTCAGGAAGAAATAGAAATAATATAGAAAGATGGTTGTTAAACAGATTTCAGAATTAAAAACCAGAACCTCTTGTAATTCTATGTAGAGCAAATCAATACTTTAAGAAAACCTTATTCTAACATAGAGGACTAAAGTTTTTTAGTTTTGCATTGGTGCTTTTTTTTTTCTTTTTTCTTTTCTTTTCTTTTTTTTTTTTTTTTTTTTTTTTTTTTTGACAGAGTCTTGCTCTGTCATCCAAGCTGGAGTGCAGTGGTGCCATCTCAGTTCACTGCAAACTCCACCCCATGGGTTCAAGCAATTTTCCTGCCTCAGCCTCCTGAGTAGCTGGGACTACAGGCACCCACTACCATGCCCAGCTAATGTTTGTAGTTTTACTAGAGGCAGGTTTCGCAATGTTGGCCAGGCTGGTCTCGAACTCCTGACCTCAAGTGATCCTCCCAAAGTGCTGGGATTACAGGCATGAGCCACCATGCCCAGCCAGCATTTTTAATATCTGTATTAGTTCATTTCCACACTGCTATAAAGAACTACCTGAGACTGGGTAATTTATTTATTTATTTTTTAATGTTCAATTGACTTACAGTTCTGCATAGCTGGGGAGGTGTCAGGAAACTTACAATCATGGCAGAAGGTGAAGCAGAAGCAAGGCACGTCTTACATGGCTGCAGAAGAGAGACAGAGAGAGAGAGAGAGAGAGAGATTGAGACAGAGAGAGAGAAAGTGCCACAATTTTAAACCATCAGATCATGTGAGAACTCACTATCATGAGAACAGCATGGGGGAAACCGACCCCCATGAACCAGGTCCCTCCTTCAACACGTGGGGATAACAATTTAAGATGAGATTTGGGTGGGGACACAGAGCCAAACTGTATCAATATCAAACTGTATCAATTTAGAAAGACTAAATTACAGCCAACTTGATCACGCACAAAATTCTTTTTTTTTTTTTATATTGAGACAGAGTCTCACTGTGTTGCCCAGGCTGGAGTTCAGTGGCATGCTCTCGGCTTACTGAAACCTCTGCCTCCTGGGTTCCAGTGATTCTCCTGAATGAGGCCCCCGAGTAGCTGGAATTACAGACATTCACCACCACAACCAGCTAATTTTTGTATTTTTTTAGTAGAGACAGGGTTTCGTCATGTTGGCCAGGCTGATCTCGAACTCCTGACCTCAGGTGATCTGCTTGCCTTGGCCTCCCAAAGTGCTGGGATTATAGGCGTGAGCCACCATGCCGAGCCAAATACATTTTCTTTTCATGAACTTTATCACAATTTATTTAGCTATTGACAACATGCTTGGACTTTCTACTTTGTCCCATACTTCTTTTTTCTTAAATAACCAGTCATTTCACTTTAGGACAAAAATTTACC